CAGGTAGAGACGTGACAAAATGACTGTGACGTCGAAACTGTCTGTGATAACCGTCCTTACATGACAGAGACAGCAGACAGACACTAGGCTGGAAAACACTGGAGTGTTCCCACAAAGGGGAATTCCACCAATTTTTCAAAACTACAACACAATTCAGCATCTGTTAGCCAATCAGCAGTCTAGATGTTGGAACAAGCGCACTTACTGGTTCACTGATGCTTATAAAGCTTACAGAATTATTCAACACTCATTAGTACTGAAGTAATTCAGTTGATGCCATAAAAGTAACAAATTACCCAACCTTAAAGGGGAACTCCACTGTTCTTTTCAAAATTGTTGCATAATTCAGTGTGTGAGATGTAAACAGAGTGATTCAGAGTGGTTTGTTGTGAAATGGTTCAGATGTCTTTACAGTGGTGGTGATAGGAACCAGGGGTCGCAACACAACTACAACACAAATATAGACATTTTATTCACTATCCAGAACCACCAGTGAACCTACACGAGTTTTATATGGAATGTTATGATGGAACATGGAATATGGAATGATGGAAAATAGTGGAAAATATGTTTTATGTCTGGCTGAGCATAAAATATTTCCTCAAAAATTGTTCTTCTACGTCAGGGGTCGGCCACAAGAGGCTCTGGAGCCACATGCGGCTCTTTTACTCCCCTTTTGTGGCTCCACAGCTGAATCTGATTTGTAGGTGAAAATAAAATAATCCTCCTTTACAGTAAAATAAAGCTCTGCTGATCGTTCAACACAGTTTAACAATAAATGGTCTTAAACTCTGGAGTTAATGTAGAACTGCTAATTCACCCTTTAACCCTGAAGATCAGCGCAGACTGCTGGTCACCATAGCAACACAGACAACAATCTCACCCAGCTAGTAGCTAACGAAACGGCAAAGAGAGAGATTTAAGACGAACATCAATAATTTGGAGATGAATGGACTTATTAGCGTTTATAATCACTCCAGCTGGTTTCCTGATACGTTTGATCTGAAATGAGAAACTGTAAAACACTAAAAAGTTGCGAAGCTGAAGTCAGTTTCTCATTCGCCAGCTTCTTGTTCAAATTCTCCCGTTAGACCTTAAATAGTGCAGCAGTTACATTCTGGCGCCTCAGGCACCATTTAAGGTGGAACGGAAAAATTCAAACAAGAAGCTGGAGAATGAGAAGCTTCAGACTCATAAAAAGTCAAATGTTGAGAGACATTTTACAAAAAACTGCTGGAGATGCGAGAAAAGCAGCTGTAGCTAAGCTAAAGCTTAAAGCAGAGCAAAGTTAGTCTGCGTTTTCGTGTATAATTTTAGCCTATACTAGCACATCAGCACATACTGAGACATATTTACAGCCAAGATGGCACTTCAATAAAATGGAAGTTAAATGTTGTGGCTCTCAAAGTGGTTTGATTTTTGTTGAAAGGACAAAAAGGCTCTTCTTAACATTTGGGTTTCCGATTCCTGTTCTACAGCATCACTGAAGGAACGCTTTGAAGCACTTTTGCTTTAAAAGTAACAGTTCTTTACATTTTTGAATGGTTCTTCTCTCCTGTGGTATACAGTTCGTTAAAGAACATTTTTAAAAAGGTTTTTAAGTCTTTCTGCAAAAGAACCACTGCTGTTAATGAAATGCGCGAGCTTGATGAACCAGTCCACTATGTATTCTAATATCAATGAAAGGTTTTTCCTAGAGTGTTGTGTGCTACACAATCATATTCTCCCTGCATGCATCACTCTACCATTTCAAATCTATCATAAAACAGTGTCTCAGTCATCAGGCAGTGAATTCATAACCATTTCCTGTAGTAACTTTCTGTGAGGGAGCTTTTAGAGGTGGACGTCTGGTTCCTATCACCACCACTGTGAACGATTCTGACTCATTTCACACCAAACCACTCTGAATGACTTTGTTTACATCTTAACCATTTAATTATACAGAAATTTTGTACAAATCAGTGGGGTTTCCCTTTGAAGAGCTCTTCACTTTTGTTAGGAATGATTAGTGATCTGGATTAGGTACTGTAATGAACGAATGGTGGAAGAATACAGAAATTAAAATCAATCAAACTGTATGAAGAGAACTGTCCTGTATAGGACTTCTTTAGCTTGGAATATGTTCCCTATTGACATCAGATTATAAGCAGATTTTCTTTTAAAACATTATGAAAATAAAATTTGATGAACCTCATCTAGACGTTATTGTGGTATTGTTGATTTTTTGGTTTTGAGTGTAGGTTATTACTGTTTATTGATTCTCTTGCTGTGTATTAGATTTATTCTTGAGTTTCGTTTGTTTTTGTTTCGTTTATGATACAGGATGACTGTAAAGAGGTTTGTTTTATTTTTATAATGTAATTGCTCTTGTGTGAAACCCAGCAAGACTGGCAACCACTTTGTGGAAGTTATTTGGTATCCAAATAAAGAATAAAGAATACAGAAACGGCGTTACACACAAGCTGCTTCATTAAATAAATATTTTATTGTCAGTGAAAATAAATACATTTTCTTAAGATAGAATCAACAACATTTAAAAAAGCATTTCTGGGAGCGAGGTTACAGAAAAAAAAAACAAAAAAAACAAAAATGAAGCCAAATAAGTGAGGGAGCACATACAATCCCACTCTTACAGCACGATGCCTGGAGAAAGCCTGCAGTCGTACATTCTAAACTGATCCGTAAAAAGAGGCCGTAGAACCTGAACGATTACGGTACACAGAGGAGCAGAAACCCTACAAGTGGCTTTGGCTGAACATTTGGATAAATGCAGACCCACAAAACAAAACGAATGGTCCCTTTTTAATGCAGGTATTGCTCTCTCGCTCTCCAAGCAATAAATGGTACATACTGACGACACTCTTAAAAATAAGCATGCCAAAAAACGTTCTTTGGCGCCCTTAAAAAAAGGGGTTCTTCAGTGGTTCTTTAGTAAAGGTTATATATAGAAGCATAAATACCTCCTAAAATTGTTCTTCTCTATGATGGAAAAGCTGTTTGTGGTTCTTTAAAGAGCCTTTTAAAAACACCAAAAAGGGCTCTACTGTTGTTATTAGTCAACTTTTTCTTTCTGGATATTATGTAGAACCCAAGGGTGTAGAAGAACCACTTTTGGTTTCCATCCAAAGGGCAGTTAAAGAACAATTTCTGTTAATAATGCATTTTTTAAGGTTGCATTATCAAAACAGGTGCCAGAAAGGGTTCTTTGCACAAGAAGAACTGCTTCTGGTTCCTTAAAGAACCTTTCGATGGATGGTTCTCTTTAGAGCTATTTTTAAATGAGGTTTGAGTGAGAAGAACCTCCTCATAAGAAGCCTGCGAAAGGTTCTACAGCATCGCCCAAAGAACGCTTTGTGGCACTTCTGTTTTAAGAGCGAATGGTTCTTCTCTCCTGTTGTATACAATTCTTTAAAGAACCTTTTCAAAAGGGTTCTAAGTTCTTCTTGTTGAAGAACCACTTTCAAGCACTGCTGTCAATGAAATGCACAAGTGTGATGAGCCAGTCCACCATGTATTCGAACAGCAATGAAAGGCTTTTCCTAGAACTGAACATCTGAGCTTAGAACCACTTATTTTTAAGAGTGTTGTGTGCTACAGGGACATAATGAATGCAAAGTTGACCTCTCACGTTCTCCTACAGCATGTTCTCATTGGTTCCTCAATTTTATATGAATGAAAATATTTTTAGTGTGGAATAATGTACAAAACAGGATGTGACCCCAGTGGCTTTTTCTTATCGTGCCTCATTCGGTTCCCGTTGTCGCTATCGCAGGCCTGGCTGTGGCTTGGGCCATTCCCCTGAGCCGGGTGGGTTTAAAAAGGGAGCGGAGCACAGTTCTAGTGGAACAGATTAACCTAGTAGAACAGCAAGCTCTGTAATTCCCATACCGAGCCCAACCCCCAGCGAGAAGAGCAAATACCACCCCCCATCCACCCCAACCACAGGATGAACCCAGCGCAGGATCCGTGCCCAAACTCTCAGATACCTTCAGAGCAGTAATATACAAATGAACATATCCATTTTGCAATTATGTGGCCGCTGGGGAGGCCGGGCACGCTGACCTCGATTAAGAGGAAGCGTGTGTGTAATTTAAATGGAACTGCAACGTAAGCAGATAAACAGGGAAAGAGGGAGCGCCCGGCCGTTCCGCGCCAGCCTGTAGGCATGAGAACCTATAATGAAGCGGCGATTGTGGCCAAATAATAATTCAAGGACTGACATTCAGGTTAATCTAGACAGAGGTGGCAACAGAACAAAGTATTGCCGTCCTCACCTACTTAGCGGCTTGCTACGAGATATCACTCAGCAAAAAAATGTGGCTTAAGGGACGTTACACAGTGGCACTGTATTCTCAAACTCAAGTTCAAGTTATTCACAGTATAGTGACATTCTAAAGACATCTACTGACCATGACCACAAACATACAAGCGGACGTCAAAAGGAACTGACGTGTTTCCCCCTCAGTGCGCCTATTAGCTGTTATTTTCCCAGAAATAGCCTAGCGTGACACACGTGGAGCGAAGCTTCCATGCTCGTCCACTTAAGCAGAAGTACCAGTATCAGTATTCTGTAAAGAAACACAAAGAAAAGAAAAAAAAGTAATGCTGCTTGATTAAGGCAGTCCTGGAGCTGTGACTAACCAGCGGAGAGCGGAGGAGCTCAGCAGTTAGCGAAAGAAGCTAATAAGACATTCCAGTGCTTTCTGAGCTGTTTCTCTCTACCTCTGTGAGCATAAAGAGAGACAGCCTGCAGTGAACGCTCGACACGCAAGTGCCAGCCAGTTGATTTGGTTTCATTCAGTTGAAGTAGAAAACATTAAAGTATGCTAACCGTGATTAATGTGTTGCTAGCGCTAATGCTATCTCGATATAATGGACTTTAGCGAGAGGAATGACCAAATAAACAATGTAGCACTGAGCAAAATGACATTTTTAGAACCCGGCTCCACTATCGGCTTTTTAAAGAATTAGAGCAATGGATTTTAGAGAGAATATAGCAGTTTGAAGTACCAGCCTTCAATACACACAAAATACTCTACTCAAGCCTCTGGAAGCAGACTTTTTAGGTCATCTGAGCTCATGTCCACTTTTTTTTTTTTTGGTGGTCGTCATAAGTAAGTATATTTCAGATGTTGAATGCCTTTGAGCGTACGTGGGTGCCCCCAGGGAGGCAAGGCAGCCTATGCGTTGTTCTACGCAGGGCTCTTTTCCCATGAAGCGAGGTTACATTCAACCCTGGTTTGGCAGAGCTACATCATTAAACCAGGGGAAAAGACAAGGCCTTGCTACCTCACACTTTGAAATAATATAAAAAAAGGTCAGCTCAGTGACATTTACGAGGGACACTTCTTCCTTCTCAGGTCATTCGACAGCAAACGGGTCAGGTCAGAGCATACTACAGTATATAGAACTTCACAGACGGACACAGCCACTCGGGACCAGAAAGGTTGGCTTCTCTTCTCTTCTCTTCTCTTGCAGCGTCCTCAGCACTGTATGAGCAACCAACCCGACTCTGCTCTTTGCTGACTGGGCAGATAATGAAGTCCACTACTAACCGGCTGCTCAGCAGCTGACCGTGCTCGGCTGCTGCTTGCACACATAGTCTGAGAAGAAGTCAAACTCGTTCTGGCCCAGGAAGAGCTCGGGGAGCTCCTGAACCCTATCCAAACCCAGTTCCAGCACAAGAGACGTGAGAACCTCCTCGTCGATCAAGTCCGTGTCCATGACGTTGAGGCCCAGCGCTGGCCCACCCATGCCCATCTGCATCCCCGCCAGCTGGCCCGGACCCATCCTGTACTGGGCCCCGTTCACCATGTGGTGTCCACTGCCGGGCCCTAGTGGAAGCCCGTGGTACTGCGTGTTGAGTTTCTGCAGGTGCATGCTGGCCATGAGCTGCTGAGATGGGCTCAGACCTCCTCCGCCCATGTACTGCTGCGGGTGCTGCTGGGGGTTCTGCGGGTGCATGTGGTGCCCTTGAAGGTGCGCCCCCTGCTGCTGGTTGGCGCCTCCGTACATCATGCCACCCGTCTGCATCTGGTGGTGGTGGTGCGCGCTCCCCATCTGACCGCCGACCTGGCCGTTCATCACCGGCCCCATCCCGGGCCGCGGCCTCATGGCCGCTTCCATGGACCCCTGCGGGCCCCTGCTGTAGTGCATCAGCTGCCCGTTGGGAAGACTGCGCAGGCCCGGCTGGCCCGCGTGCTGAGGATGGCCGTTCATTCCCATGCGGAACCCGTGCAGGCCACCGCCGGCAGAGCCGTGAGTCATGGGCATCATCATGTGATCAGCCATGGCTTGGGAGCGATTCTGTGAAAACAGTGCAGGAGTGTCAGCAAAGGGAAGCGGAAAAAAATGCAACAATTCCTGACACACCAGCTGACTGAGCCTGTTTTACTTACTTCAATGTAAATGAGCTCAGGAGTGGAATGTCCTGACTCGCCAGAATTTACACTTTCCCTGCTAGAATCTGGGAATTTAACACCCTGTACAGCTCATCTGCATTACACAAGGGTAATTTTTCCTATAAACCAAAAGGGAATTCCATTGATTTCTGCACAGTTACATCATTAAGGCTCATTCAGAGTGGTCTGAAGTGAGACGATGCAGTGTAGAGAAACTTACTGAGTAAGAACCATTCACAGTGGTGGCGAGAGGAACCAGATGTCATAAAAGACCTCATAAAAATGAATGACATGAAATGGATACTGAACCTGATGTCTAAAACATCTGCTATATGATAGTTTTCTATGACTAAAATGCATTTTTATCTATTCATGGAGGAGGGGAGGAACGTTTTACATGAAAAGGTTATGATATTGTTTTTTTTGATAGTTTGGAGAAAATATTTTGGCCTAAAATGTAATTCTTCACATCCATTCATGGTGGAGAAATACATGCAGGGGGCTGTGAGGCAAAATAGTCTCCAAAGAAAACTTATTTTAGTGGTAAATCTGGCAAATAATAAGTGTAGGTTCACTGGTGGTTCTGGATAGTAAATAAAATGTCCTGGTTCCTGGTTCCTATCACCACCACTGTAAAGACATCTGAACCATTTCACACCAAACCACTCTGGATCTCTCTGTTTACATATGAATGATTGAATTACACATGCATTTTAAAAAAATGGTGGAATTGGTGGAACTGAGTTAACTGAGTTAAGTGAATACTTTTCTTTCTTAGGTCAGATTTTCACATCCAAGGACTATTCCTAAAGAAACTACAGTCCACAGAAGCATTTCACACATCTCAAATACTGAATCACGAACACTTTTGGAAAGAAACTGGATTTCTCCTTTAAAGTCCAGGCATTTTCATGCATTTTGGGCTTGAATGTCATGTGCCAGACTGCCAGTTCACAAGCAAGTCAGGTTAAATATCCCCATTTAAGACAGTGTAGGACAGGATTAATACTGCAGCTCAATTTAGCGATTAATCGTTCAGCCTTACAAACAACTTGTGAATGGATTCCAATGGGCCTATCCAGTGGTTCCTGTTAAAAGACTCGCCTTTAAGCCCACTGCAAATGTGCAGCTGACCGAGACAAAGCCTAGGTGTGAGAGCTCCGGCCCTCTGCGGAGAAAACAATGCAGTCAGGAGCCTCTGGGAGCATCAAAACAAATATCAGCCCGATCCCCAGACAAAGTGCTCGGCAAACAAAGCCCCCTTGAAAGAGATACAGATCGGGGGTCTAGACGGGTTGATGATACTCTCCTCTACATTTTTATAATGGAACATGTGCACTGCATGCAGTTCATTCAGACTTACATGACGTTGTGAGTTTATTACAGTATGCAGGCTCTCAGTGAAGGTAATAATAGGGCGACCTACTCAACTCTGCTGTCTAAACTACTCTTAAATCGCTCTTCCAGCTCTCATGGAGAGAAACCCGGGGTGATCTGAGGTTCTAGCTGCCTTAAGAAACAAACAAAACAAAAGATTTATCTTCCTCTTTCTTCTCTGCTGACTGGGCTTCTCCTTTAACCCACTGGAGGCATCTTCATTTAAATCTCCAGCCTGGTGGACCCTCATTAGCACTCTTACGAGGGGGGGAAAGTTTAAGGTCTAATTTTAGTTTTAAAGTGTGAAGATTTCTCTCAAACCCTTCTTGGTTAAAACACTTAGAGCCGCACTTCTCATTCATAAATCTAGACATTCAAACTCTAAGCCTCGTAGCCTTTATTAAGGCATCTGAGCAGCACCTAAAGGCTTATCTGACAGCAGAAAAGCTGTTTGCACAACTCTTGGCTGTAGCTGTTTCACCTTAGCTCTCATTTATTGTCTATTTTATCACTTCACCTTCGACTATTTGCAACACTCTCGTTTCATTAGAATTGTAAATATTTTCTTATGCATTCTGTTTCATCGTCCTATTTCCCCCTTTTTTTGCTTCTTCTACCAAGTTTTGAAAGCTTTGCAGGTCCTCAAATCATTTTAATAATAAAAAAGGGGGAAATAAAGGCTGCATGGACAAAGAGTTTGACAAGCTGTACAAAAACAATGTGCAGGTTATTTTAAACTGAGACACCCAGCAATAAAGCCAGCACCGCTGCACTATTATAGAAAAGACCACATAAAAGAAGAAGCACTGGCCCTTTAACCTGGTCAGCTGAGCACAAAGACATGTATACTCAGAATACACGTACCTGTATACGGGTGTATCTTCTTATTCCCTTTAATGGACGCCTTCTCCTTCTCTTTCTCCTTCTCTTTCTCCTGTCGTCTGCAATATCCTTCAGTAAAAGTGTTGGTTTCAGGGACGTAAGCAGGCCGTCTGCTCGTTCCGCTGCTGTCCCTGATACGGGAGATTGCTTTCTGGGTCAACTCGGGGATTATATGCATCTCTTGAGCGGCGGAGAATCGAAGGAGAGCGAAAAGGGGCGTGTCTTTTCACCCGTGTTCGCACAAACCCGGCCCCTCCGGCGCTGCCATTGGCTACACGCTCATTAGCGCACGCTCACACGGCGGGGGCGTCGAAAGCGAACCAACCGACCGCAGGACGCGGCTCGCCAATGGGCGCAGCGTCCTCCCGAATACGGGCGCTAAACAAAAAAAATCAACACCACGCTCCAGAAGAGGCAGGGGGAGGGGCGGATGGGGAGAACTGGGCGGAGCCACGCCCCCTCCCCCTCCTGTGTTATGATTGGCTGCTGGTCTGATTTGGCGTGCAAGAAAAAGTGCAAGCGAGGCCTCTCTGCGGGTTCAGGCAGCGCGCGGTATTCGCGTGAGCTACGTGAGTTTATCTCAGAGCTGTTGTTGTAACTTAAAGGGGAAGTCCACCATTTTTTAAATTTCTGCCTGATTCAGTGGTTGAGTCATTCAGCGTGGTTTGGTGTGAACAGTGGTGGTGATAGGAACCAGGGGTCGCCATAACTACAACACACATATATAGACATTTTATTTAACTACCAGTGAACCTACACTCCTGGGCCCAAAATGTGATGTATTTACTGCTGGTTTTGAGCTGCTCAGAATCCGGATTTAAACCCAATAGAGAATATTCGGTCTCATATTAAACACAAACTAGCTCAGCAATGTTTTTCAGCTGTTTGAAGGTCTAAGCTGGTCTGTGCTGATTTTTGCTGGTCTAGTGCTGGTCTGGTTCTGGTTTAGCCTGTCACCCCATCATGGCCATGCTGGTTGACCTGCATACCATCATCCAAAATACATCTTATCGTTGCTGTCGGAAGAAAACCTTGTATCTCCAAAATGGTAATTTTACAGGAAAAGGAAAAAACCTACTTTACTTTTAATGTAAGTCAATGGAACCAGACTTTTTTACAAGTCATTTCGGGTCGTTTCCTTTGGTCCGTTCTTCATTAACTTTACACACAATGTAAAGAGCAACAGACAGTTTCAAATGCTTCAAAAATGGCTTCAAAAATGGAGATACGAGGTTTTGTTCCAAAGCTGTTAAATGCTAGTTTTGCTGGTGATGATGCTGGTTTTTCTAGCAGGGCTGTGAACAATTCTGAAGTTTCTCTAAAACAGAGCATTTCACACCAAACCACTCTGAATGACCCTGTTTACATCTTAACAGTTTATATGGAAATTTTTAAAAATTGGTGGAGTTCCCCTTTAGGTTAAAACACCAAATCCTTTTAACTTTTTCACCAGAAGACCATATTTGATCATGTTTTCTTAAATACTAATATAATAATACAAACTAATAATACATATTAACAGGCTCATATCAGGGAAAAACAATTTTCCTCACTTTTTTAAAGTTTGATATAACATATAAACTTTGCTAAAGTTTTAAAACATACTGCTTATTCCTGAGTATGTTCATGGAAATTAAACAGTCTGTTCTGAATGCATCATTTTTGTGACATCACAAAAAAACCAACACATTCACATACGTCCACTTAGTCAGCCTACAGCAATTTAGCCCCACCCATTCATGCTGAGGTTGTGAGGAGTGTTTCAGTCTGGGCTGCTTTTTGAATGAGGCACAATGCAGGGCAGCCAATCAGAACAGAGCTCATTTGCATATCAGTCTTAAAGGCACAGTAACAAAAACAGGCTGGAAATGACAAAAAGCAAAGGCAGTTTTTGATACATAAACTCACAGAAACATCATAAATTATGAGTTAATGTGTATATTTACACTTTCAATCTTGAGAGGTGTTCATTCAGCCTCACATCAGTTTAGGTAGCAGTTAGCTTTGTTTGCTTGTTTGCTTGTTTGTTTATTGATGACACTCAATGCCAGTTTAGCTCAGAAGTAACTCAGATCAGACAGGCTGCTATAGCTGAACATGTTAAGACATGCTTTTAACCCCCTGTGAAGCACTTTGAGCTGCATTATGAGGCTTATTATTCTAATTATAATCATGGTTATTCCTATTATAGGCATATTTGATGAAGTTTGCCTCATGACTCTGTCACTCTAACCTCTCTTATCTCGTGTATGGTGGCATCTACCGTCAGTTTACCTGCCAAAACAGAAAAATATGTTACTCCGAGAGAAATCTCCCAGGCTGCGGTCAGGCTTCAGCCATCACCCTCATGCAAATGGCTTGTTTACCATTTGAAAAGGCAGAAACAGACTGCAGATCCATATGCATGTGTGCAGAGGGAGCACCCCCTGAGAGGCAGGCCTGCTGGCACCAAGCATGTGCTAATGACGTAGCGCCACCCATACTGCTTTCAAGTGCCGTGCAGCCGCGGACCCAGCAGTGCACGTCCCGCCAGCAGCAATACGCAAACACGATTAGGACAAAGAAGAGTCCAAAAGTCCCGACAGAGCCGGAAACCTCTGTTTTACTAAGGATGCAATGACTTTACAGTGAAAATGATGAATGTTGGAAACGTCAAACGTATGGAAATGTAAACTGTGTCACTCACATACACTTCAAAACATGGTTCTTCAAGGGTTCTTCAGTAAAGAAAATTGTTTTTATGTAGAACCTTTTTGAAAAGGGTCCTATATAGCACCAAAAAGGGTTCTTCTATTGTTACGACATCAAACTTATAACACTAGAAGAACCCTTTTTGGTGCTGCATAGAACCCTTTTTAAAAAGGATCTATATTTAAGCAATAGAACATGAGAGGGAGTGTGTTAGCGCAAAATAACATCACGGCTGTGATTCGGTCGCCGTAGATCATCACAGCCGTGATGTTATTGGCGATAACACACTCCTCCAGTGTTCTATTGCTTTAATACAACAGTTAAATAAATAAAGTAATAAACTAATAAACTGGGCCGTGAACGCGGCGTTTAATATGTTTTAATGTTCGCAGTTCCTTCACCAAATTATAGTTCCTTAACGAGCAGCTTGTTGCTACGTCAGAGTAACGTGTAGTCTGATATTCAGAGTCTGACCAAATTAGACTGAGCCATAAAACTGCCGCAATATCAAGTTCAGCTCAGTTTTGTCAGTTTTTGCCAGATCAGTATTAATGTTGTTTTGTTCCAGCCAGTCTGTAAAGCATCTTACAGCCCATTTAGTTTGGCGAATGGTGTTGGGTTCATTTCTGGCTGATTCCAGGTTGTTTAGCTGTTCTTCTGTCTCAGCTGCCAACTGAAAAGCTGCTCAGTGGTGATGACAGTTTGGGAATTTAGTGTCGTCTCATCTTCAGAGTCTGACCAAATCGGCTGTCGGTCAAATGTGATCTTTAAAGTGTCCGTTTTGTGTTTGTGGCAAAGTAAGAAGTAAAAACGTTCAAATGTCTTGAGCGTCTCCTACAGCTGTCAGAGTCGTTGCTTAGCAACGGCGTCTCAGCGGAGTGATACAGTGTTCGTGAAAAACCTGTGATGTTACGGTGAAATAATGGTACGGATAGAGCGCTTCTCAACCAATCAGCTTGCGTGGCCGGAACTACCTGTTGTATAAAGAAACATATACAGCACGTTCTCCATCAACCTGAAGAACACTTGCATGATGGAAAGAACCTTTTAAACGTGTTTTTGAGTTCACGGTTCTATATGGAACCATTTTCTTTCTTGCATTTTGTGCAAAAAAAGATTTTTTTTGTTTTGCTTTTCTATTTATAATGTTTATATTGTAAATTTTGTGAAGGACAGAATTTATATTTTATCTTAAGTATTATATGCATTGTCTATACAGTAATAAGTATCAAACTGTAAACCTCATTAAGTAATTAACAAGGTTAATTACCTTGTTTGTTAATTCTCTTAGTTCTTTTGTTGAGTGCCTTGCTGTCCCTTTGCTGCTGTAGCACTGAGAATTTCCCTGTTGTGGGACTAATGAAGGATTATCTCATCTTATCTTAGAATATAATCAGAGTTCTGTAGAATTAAGAACAGTTTTAACACAAATATCAAAAACTGGATCGAATCTTAATCTCAGAACTGAAAAATCGCGTCGTTACAGCCCTACTGTTTACTCTCAGTCCTGTTTCTGGTCGGGAATGTTTCTCTGTATCCCTGTTTTTCTTGTCTTTGGAACGTCAGAGAGCTCATTGTGCTGTTTTCTAAGACGGGGCGTGTTGTGCTAACTTTTCTGCGCTCTGTACAGGTGCCTGGCGCTAAAGCCTGTTTTTTTCCTCAGATCTGGTTTGGATTGTCAGGATGTGTCGAGTGTGGATGGAGGACGGAGGTGCGTGTGGGAGCAGTTCTAATGCAATAACAGGATAAATTTAACCTCCTTTCTGTACGCCTGGACCTCAGAGGACTGACTGTTTGTTTTCTCGTGTGGAATTACTCACATGATGCAAGAATTGATGATGAAAGGCTTTTAAATACCGCAGGTTTACAAAACCCTCCACACAGACGCAGTGAGGAACACCTGAGGGCCTTCGAGGGCTTCAGAGAAGACCTAATCATTTCTGGGAATTAAGGAAAATACAGTCTGTAGTTTTTAGTTCATTTTTATTGAATAGAATAATCATATTGTATTTAAAGTTTTGACTGGAAACAAAAGGGTTTCAGTCTTAAAACGCCCAACAATAAACTGTCCAATCAGGATTGTTTTCTTGGTGGTATCAAGCGAGCTCTCCCATTGGTTAGGACTTCAGGAGCTGGACTGAAGGCCTTACACATTAGATTGACTACCAACATAATTAGGAAGTGACAGAGGAATCAACCAATCACGCTTTGATTTACACTGGGACCGATTTCATCACTCTACACTCTTAAAAAGATGGTTCTTTAGTAAAGACAATGGTTCTATATAGAATCGTGAACACACAGAGTTTTTGTTCTTTGCATGGTGAAATGGTTCTTCAGCTTGGTAGAGAACGTGTTGCATATCTATATAGCACCAAAAAGGGTTCTTCTGTTTTACAATGTCAAGGTTGTAACAACAGAGGAACCCTTTTAGGTGCTGTATAGAACCAAATACAACACATTCTCCATCAAGCTGAAGAACCATTTCACAAT